ACACTAGGTGACTTCGACCAGTGTGCTAGCATAAACTGATGAGCAATAGGTCCAGTCGTATGGGTCACATTAAGGTGACTCCGACTGGCATGTTAGTTTAGATTAATCTCACACCTGGCTTACATTTATTATTGCTGAGATATTGTGTCATGGCATGCTTCTATTTTTACTGCACCTATGCATTCATTCTTCGTACCTACGTAATATTATTTTTTGGAAACTATACGGGTTTTACGGCGAGGGGTTATAATGCTTTCAAAAGGTTTTTATTATAACTTTATTTTCAGGCCCACTCACCCTTATTTTTCGCCCCTCCAGGTTCTAGTAGCAGAGTTTTCGTGCCGACAAGGATTATCGGCAAATCTTGGGGTAGACGATTACCATTGATGGTATAATTCTCACCTTATTTTACTGTACTGTACTTATACTCTGTCATCATGTGTGAAATGGGTTCATACCTGCTCAACACACACTCTTGTACTCAGACACTTTTAGGTTTAAATTTATTCACATTTTCCACATCAATACACTTTATGGCTTCGTCACCTTCCAGGTATCGGCTAATACAGCTCGATTCGGAGTCCTAGTGGACATCCCAGGTCGGGGTGTGTCACTCAATCTCAACTGGGTTTCCCAGTTTGAGATTGTATGACTCGTTCAATGCTATTTTGAGTCATCTGCTTGAAGAAACACAACTGCAAACTATATGGAAAGGCTGGAATAGGTCATTCCATAACTTGCCAAAAATGAAAGGAAAAGCTGAAAGCAGTTCTCAAAGTATTTCAATCAGACATTAGCTTTTAAAGATTGAAAGTTAGAAGCAAACAACTTTTCCATCATTCTCATGGGTATGTAAAATGGCAAAATGAGTATCTTCTTTGCTCAATTGCTATCAACCCTTCTCCAATTTTGTCAACTCATTCAACTTGATCTGGGTAAATAATTCTTCATTGCTCTGTCACTTACAGTTTGGAGTAGTGTGTAATAGTGGAGTTGTTCATCTTTCTATTTCCAGCTTCTAACTCCTACTAGTGGTTCAAAATCATGACACCCTTCCTCTGCCACTAACAGTATCCTCACAAAGAACAACCTTCTACAAAGAAGTCGTTGCACACCCTCATGCCGGTTACAACAATTTCTTGTCGGATTTACCGTCAACAATGTCATTCAACATTGGCTTTGGCGTTTAATATCTACATAAACAGAAAATTAACAAACTATAGTGTGGCATCGGCCTTAACTATAGTACCACATGATCGCCTTTTGTGGATTTTACCATAAACAAGTTATCTTAACAAAGGCATCAGCCTTCACAATTTCAACAACAGAAAATCAACATCTATATAGATTACCCTTCGTGGGATTTACCTACTCATAACACGGGATTACCCTTCATGGGATTTACCGTAAACAACTTCTTCAAACTTCATTTTTTTCTAAGACATGTATAACCGGACTTACAATAGATACGTGCTAACAACTGTGCTAGTCATACTCGATATTATAGGCTGCGATAAGTCAAAATATTGAACAATCTTCACGGACATCACACTTCTCATACCCAAGAATCCATATCAATTTCTCCAAACATATCACGAGACTGAGCAAAATTTTAGTAGCAATCCAAAGCAACAATCTTGAACCCAAGTATTAGACACAACTTGAAGAAGCCAGAAAAACTCACAAGAAAGATGACTTCATGCGACAAACTAATTGAGTTACACAAACACATTTAGTCATCAAATCTTTCAAGAATTTTAGAGAGATAAAGTTTGAGAGAGAAAAACAGAAGTCTTTATCAATCTGGAAGCCAAAAACGTGAAGATGGTGGTGAAAGACAAAGACAAGATGCCAAATAAGGTCCTCCTGGAAGCTGCCCGCGAAGAGAAGCTTGCTTCACTGAGCAAGGAAAGATTGATGCACCCTTCCCCAAGATTATCCACCAAAAGGTAGACCACCCAAGGTACCATTGCCTTCTGCCAAACAAGCAGCTCGTGTGCATACCATAAACTGGTCAAATATATCACTTTGCAGAAACGAAATTTCATTGACGCATAAGATCGAACACGTGATAGGCAAGAACCCATTAGGAAGAAAGAAGACACAAATTCCAGATTTTAGTTAATAAGAATTGCAAGATTTTGGTGAAGCAGCAAAAGATTATGAGGAAAAACCCAAATTCCGATGAAGACCGAATGTCAATGACCGATTCCAATGAAGGTTAAGGGCCTATTTCTGGAAATACCTCCGACTCCGGATGTGACCAACGCTCACTGTAAACCTTCATATGCGGACTTCGTAGTAACTTTTGAGCTGGGAATTTTGTCAAACACTTGGAGTGCATAAGTGACATATATTTCATTGGTGGCTGTTTGCAAACATCAAAAGTCAATGGTGGTCTATGAATGGCCTCGCTGTCTACGAATGACAATCCGGTGTCGGAAAGAAATCAACCCAGAAAAAAAAAAATCAACCTAGAAGTAATAGAACGATTGCTGAAGCATCGAAAAACTTATCGGAATATCTAATGAAAATGTTTAGAGAAACTAAACTAGAAAAAAAAATGAAAACAGCTAAGAAGTGGAACCACCAAAATCCATGGTGTGAGCCTGATGGCTCTGATACCATATTAACTACATTGAGAAAGAATCAGAGGGCAATAAGGAATGGAGGAAACTGAAGAATTAGAGAGAGAAACAATTGAAAGAGAACAAGCAGCTCAAAATGCTTTTGATTATTTAATCTGTGCTTTACAAATGAGATATAACCATACTTATATAACTTGCAGAAGGCACACGTGCCTTAAGCTAAATGTTAACAGACTCAACTAACATTTTAACAAACTTTAATAGCTTTAACAATCATTTAACAAACTCTGCTGAGGTGACCTTTACTACTGATGCTGATGTGGTATTGATACTTAACATCTTCCAACCTCCCTACACGCCCCTTGCCGACGGAATACTTCCAGGATACCACGGTCCATGGTTATCAATCTTAACCATCGCATCTCTAAACTCACTCACTTGCCCCCTCCACAACTCCAAAGCCTCCGTTGTCCCACGAAAAACTATAACGTTTCTAACCTTCCAAATTCGCCAAAGACCAAAAACAAATTCTTGCAAAAAATCGTCCTTGGCATCCATATCATGAACCCGTAGACATACATTTTTCCAGCAAACTCGAAAGTCGCTACCCAAAATTGCAAGGGAATCAAGATGAAGAGGTGAACCAAACCAAAACATGCGACTAAACTCACACCTAAAGAAAAGGTGTTCCTCCGTCTCGTTCGCAGATCCACAGAGCGCACAAGCTTTCTCAATATTCATACCTCGTCGTACCAAATTCCGTTTCATCACAAGCGAGCTATTACACCCTCTCCAAACGAAGAACTTCATTTTATTGGGCACCGTCTAAATATTATATGTTCTTTCTAAATTGTGGAATTTAAATTTCTTAAGTGGTGGCGTACTTATTGCCAATATTGTATGGATTTACATTTATCTATCCTCATCTATGATTACTTTTTGAATAAAACCTTGTTTAAGATTAAAAACTAATTTCAATCATTGGCATTTAATTGTAATTTTTGAATATTAAATAGGTTGTAATAATTATTGAGTTTTTTTATTTGTAGGTTATATTGATTCCCATATTTCCCATAAATAATAAAAATGTTATTTATCATTGGTAGTTATTATTAAGTTCCCATAATAAGAAAACTCATATATTATCACATATTTTTCATTGTGTGTGAATTTCTCCATATATATGTATATGCATATTACGTACATATGTATGTTATAGAAACTATAGTTACGTACCGATACATTTGTACTGAAAGTTATGTACCGATACATTCGTACCTAAATTTACATATGGATACTTCTGTACCTATGAGAAAAATAAGGAATCTAAAGTTATGTTTAGATACTTTTGTACCTATGAGTAAAATAAGGTACTTAAAGTTATGTAAAGATCCTTCTGTACCTTTGAATAAAATAAAGAACCGAAAGTTATGTACCGATATAAATTGGTTTTGTTTTGTTGTTGAACTTTTTTAATAATTAAGATTTTGAATTTTGAATTAATTTTTTATCTATTAATATGATTGGAGCACAAAAAATACATTAGTTATGAATGGGTAAAGAATTTCAAATGGTAAGTTTATAAATAATAAATGTGCTATAATTACTTAAATATGGTAAGTTTTAAAAATATGGACTTATGTTAGATTTTGAAAACCATTCAAGTTAAAATCTAAAAACGATCTTATTGAAACCTTAAAATCTAAAAACCCTTTTAATTATTTTAAATGTACAAATCACGTTTTCTACAATTCCTATATAATATGAAATATGTTTCATTCCAAATATGTGCAGAAAATTGAATGGCAATTGCTGTTTCAGAAGCACCTCAATCAAAATTGCCATATATACTATATAACTCCTCTCTGGAAATTCCGGTCCGATCCTGAAAGAACATATTGATATCTTGTTTCCGATGTAATTTTTCCCAAAATCACTACCATCAAGTCTAATGGTATTCCTCTTCACTTGTAAGTAAGAAGTCTTAGGTTCGATTTTCGTCCAAAGTCGAATTTAAACCACATTATTGTTAGCCCAGTGTGAGGTTAATCCCACCTCCTTCCCTCAGTATAGATAATATCGTTTGTTCAAAAAAATATTATATTTGTACTATGTTGCTTCTGGTCGAATATCTGACTCCGCCTATCACCTTATTCTGCTTCCATCATCTCTTTCAAGAACCCGCGAGTAGTGTAGTTTAGCACTCTTGTGTTTGATAAATTTTTCATTATGCCCGGGACATGAATAGTGCAGTATATATCATTATATAAATGGTGAAATACTCTATATTCTATATTTTAAATTGTTAATTTTTTAACACAAGTATGTGACCATTTATATAACATGTGATCTACTATCCTATCCCACGTTCCTCCGAATACGTAAGGAAAATCTCTCTTTTGCACCTATTAAACACTCGCCTACTTGCTTGGTATAAAATTGTCAATTATTCAGCGCCTTTGACTCCGACTCTGGGGGTCACTTCGAAAAGTCTCTTTCTTCCTTCGCTTTCATTAGCGATCATTGCACTCTTGGATGGCACCCTCTAAGCTTTTACTCTTCTCCGTATTCTTAGCCCTATCATTCACCGGAATTACGGCATACCCACCCCCTCCAGACGACGGCGCTTCTGATTTTGCTCAGGAGGTTGCAGATTCGTCTCTGGCACTCCAACTTCAGCAACTCAAGTCCAGAGTTTCACTTCTAGGTGACCATTTTCAAAGTTTTAGGCTTTGTCATTGCAATCATCATATATATATATATATATATATATATATATATATGTATCTATATTATGAATATTGAATGGGAATTGAGTGTATAGTAAATTTGCAGTTCCATACATTAGAATTTTAAATGGCATTTGGTTTGTAATATGGTTTTAATTCCCTTTATTTTTATAATTAATGATCATATGTTCTGTATATTTGTATTGGATTGTAGGAAAATAAACTTTATTTGACTAATTGGGATTTGAAAATGTGAATCGATTCGTTGAGCGTATGGGTAGAGGTACAGTTTTTCGTTTTCTGGAAACCAATTCGAAAAGGCAGATTGATCAGTTAGTTTCTTTCGGTTTTTCAGAGCCCGAAAGAGGTGAAGAAATTGTTTTTAGTACGAGTGAGTTCTATATTGCCTCTTCTGCATACATTCCGTTGTATTTCTAGTGTCACTGCATAGGATGTCTTAGACTCCTTTCCCTTTTGGACTGAGATAGTGTCTCTTATAAAAAATAAGACTGACTACAGAACCCGATTGATTGATAATGTAGTAAGTGCAGTTACTTGACCCCTTGTTATTGTACATGATTGGCTGCTGTTTTACATCACTATTTTGTCTGTTTTAGTGACGTTGGTATTCTCATGTTGTTGAAGAATCACGCATTGATGACAAAAACCGTGAGCTGAGAAAAAAGGATGAAAGTATTAAACTGATGGAGAAGGTTATTCAAGAGAAATCAAATAGCATTGCTTTGTTACAAAGTGCTATAGAGTCTGTACAGGTAAGGGTTTTATTTTTAAAATGTTTTTCAGTTCAATGCAAAGTATTTCTCAGATACTGTATAGTTCAGTTCATTGAGGTGTTAAATCATGAAGCCATGGTTTGGTTCCCATGGTATGGAAAGTGATTGAGACATTTTTTTTCTTAGTGGAAATATATGTTTTTGAGAAGTAAGTCATTGTTAACAATATTGAGCCTTGACTGGAGGGTCCATTTCTGTTTTACTCATCCTTTCTAGTCAACAACTGGAGTGTATAAATGTATTAGACTTTGTGAAGCTCCATTATGTCTCTATGTAAACAATCAGCCTCTCTTGCTTGCAAAAAAGAAGCGCTCTCCAAACCCCATTTGAAAAGATAAGGGTTGATCTGTTTCTTTTTCTTTTGGGTAGGGAAGAGAACCTTTAGATGTTGTCGAGCTTGGAGATAAACCACATGTGCAGGCTGGTGGGCTTGAGAAGCAGATTAGTTTTCCAAAAACTAGACCTAACCTGAGTTTCATTCTGTCTTACATGGCTTAGTCTTCATGAAAGGTTAAAAGACTTAGAGAGGACATTACTGTGCAAAATAAGAAAAGAGATGAACTGGAAGCCCGAGCAAGTGTAGCTGAGCAGAAAATTCCGGAACTGAGTATAAAATTAGAAAATGTAAACTAACCGTGCTTATTTCTTGTTTCTTGGAAGGCCTATGTTACTGTTTCTGATTGAGTAGTTATATTGTTTTATTCTGTAACTGTTGTTTTCCTTTTCTAGAAAACAGATGGTTTGGTGCTTACAAATTCACCCTTCTGATAGAATCAGATTTACTGATGTATTGGACTACTCGTGCAAATCAAAGGAAACTAATGAGTAGCCAGTAGTCAATACCATCTCCATAATCTTATAAATTAAGCCAAAATTCAGAGCTATCTTATTTGAAGTGATGCTAGTATGCGATCAAGGTCCTATATGGCATAGTGTATACTGATAAACAGCTATCGACACTTCAAATGTAGAAGCTATTTTCTCTTAGGATTTGATGTTATTTTGAATTGTTTTGATTAGTTCTGAAGGCTTTTAAATATCTGTGGAGTTGTAGATCAGATATCCCTTCATTTGTGGAGTTCTGCGATCAAGGTCCTACATGGTGTATACAACTAGACAATCTGTAATCAAGTTTAATTTTCCATGGGTGCACAATTTCTTTGTGAAAGCGGACTTTAGTATAATTTAATTGGCCAATTTAATCTCTCTTTCTATTCTTTTGCAGCTTCGAAAAGTAAATGATGAACAGAAGACTGGAATTCGGAAAACTGAACATGATCTTCAAGTTGCAGAGGTTTGTTGTCCGTTTATTTGCTACCTGAAACTATCAATTGCTACATGGTATTAATTTTTTTGATATCTCAGGAAGAAATGGTGAAGGAGAAGTTTGGGATTTCTTCAATATCTGAAGATTTGACTGAGGTAAGGAAATGGTAATGCTATAATTTTCTAATGCCTGCTGTTGTTGGCAACGTTGTTGTTATCACTTTAGGTTTAATTCTTGTGGCTTTACCTCTTTTAGTGTGACTAGTCAATTAGTAAATTTATCAATTGCCTAAAGGTGGATTCTGTTATGGCCCCGTCTCTATTAATAATTAATCATATGCAAACTTTTAAGTTTGAATAACAGTGAAGCGTATCATGTTCTTGTTACCATTTACAAGTACTTTAAAATTAAGTTCACCATACTGCCAATAGTTAAATCCTGCTGTGACCCATGATCAGGTCCATGGGGGATGGCTTCCACATACATTTGGAGTTCATGTAGACTATTTTCAGGTAAATCCACGCAGATTAGTTGGATAACAATGTCAGTCTAATTTCATGACAAAGTATTTATGTGCAGACGTACATTTTGACTTACTGGAACGAGCTTGGAAGACCAGCCTTCAATCTGGGAATTGAAAAGGTGTGTCTGTGATATTCCAAACTTTATTTGTTGCACTTATCCAATAAAGATGTTCGCTTGCCAGGTGAATAAACTGGAATAGCCAAGTATTCATTTATTTGTTTGTCCTCAGGCCTTAAAAATGAAAGCTCGTGGTGAGGGTTGGACTGAGATCATCATCAAAAGAATCAGAACAGTATGCTATCCCCAGCTCTTCTTCATATAATACAAAATACAAAGTGAGACACGAGTTGCGTTTTATGGGATTAAGTGGCAAAATTTGAGTTTCAAAACTCGAGTTCTAAAGAGGAGCATAAAGCAGCAAGAGCCTATCTTACTAATAATTAAAATTTTGAAGTCATTAGACTCAGCTTTGGTGTTTGACATCTTTCTCTTTTCTGAACAATTAGTGTACAGTCAACTTTTCTATTTGTGATATTGAACCAAGTTGGCAACCTTTCTAATTCTTCCTCTTTTAATTTGAAGAACTGGATGCCAAGGTTGAAGAAACAGTCTTTGGAATTTAAAGCCTATCTTGAACCAAACATTCGATTAGTCACTGCAAAAACTGTTGATGTATATCGTTCATCAAAGAGTTCTATAGGACCACTTGTTTTCAAGGCACAAAATATGGCAGATCCTTACATTCAGGTAAGCCCCTCATGAGAACTTTTTAAATATATGGATTTGGTGGATGGAATTCTTTCTTATGGCATTTCTGTGTTGTGGCAGGAAGCTAAGAAATATACCAAGCCTTACATTGATCCGGTTGCTATGGTGGCAAAACCACATTTAGATAAATTACATATTGCCTTGAAGCCGTATACCGAAATGGTACTCAATGCATATAGAAAAGTCATCACCACTACAACATTTTTGCATCATGAGGTATGAATTTCCTACTTTATATTTATATAAAACATTAGTACCGACGAATTCAATCAATTGATTTCGAAGCACGAGTGGAACATGCTATGCCTCTTGGACTTTTGAAAAATGATGCAGTTGGACATTATTTGACTCTGCTCACAGAACTGAAGGGAAAAAAAAAAAAATATTCTTGGGAGGTGAGAACTTTGGTGAACACATTTTTTTGAAAGGAGTCAAACAATGAAGAAGGAGCTGATTTGGCTGATTTGGATCCCAATTTTTGTCTATCTGTTCATTACAGAGAAAGTGTTGGAATCTAAAGGTCTTCGCCTAAGTCGGTCAAAGACAGAGTATATGGAGTGCAAGTTCAGTGCAAACGGAGGCTCAAATGAATTAGGGGTGAGGATTGGAGATCAGGAAGTACCAAAGAGGGACTGCTTTCGCTATCTAGTATCTATCTTGGAAAAGAACGGAGAGTTGGATGGAGACCTCAACCATAGAATACAAGTTGGATGGATGAAGTGGAAGTGTGCATCCGGCGTGTTGTGTGACCATCGTATGCTACTGAAGCTCAAGGGAAAATTTTATAGGATGGCAATAAGGCGGACAATACTTTATGGCATGGAATGTTGGGCGGTGAAGCATCAACACGTACATAAAATGGGTGTAGCGGAGATGAGAATGCTTCCTTGGATGTGTGGGCACACGAGAAAGGATAAGATTAGGAATGAGGATATCCGAGGTAAAATAGGAGTAGCTAAAACTGAAGGAAAGAAGATAGATAATCGGTTATGGTGGTTTGGACATGTGAAACGAAGGCCTATTGACGCTCCGGTTAGAAGATGCGATTACGGGATAGAGGTTCATGGCCGAAAGGGTAGAGGAAGACCAACAAGGACCTTGGAAGAGACTCTAAGAAAAGACTTAGAGTGCTTGGATCTAACAGAAGACGTGATACAAAACTGAGCGCAATGGCGTTCTAGGATTCATATAGCGGACCCCACTTAGTGGGAAAAGGCTTTGTTATTGTTGTTGTTCATTACAGAGGAAACAGAGTGGAACAGTGCACAGATAAGCAAACATAAAAATCAAAAGGAGTGAATGCTTGCGTGATATACAATATTATTTCTTTTAGTACTCGCATGTTTTTAATTTAAACTTATAGATCTGGTTTAAATAACAGTAATTCCGGTGACTTGCGGAAATGAGCAGGCAAGTATTAGTCTCAGCACTTCTTTGTTTGTTTGGTTTCTTCCACATTGTTGCGTGCTAAAACACACTGTTTGTTGATGGCCAAATATAAGCTTTCATGGGCTTTTCATTTGTTTGAAAGCAGGGTACATCAGAATTGCTAATTTTCTGTTATGGGCAAAACCGCAAAAAATGAAAGGGCAATCATAAATTTGTATAGGAAAGGAAATCCAAATTCACGAGGAGTTGCGGAAATCTCAGTACTTATAAGTACCCCATATGAACTTGAATGTTTTTTTTTTTTTTTTTTTTTTTTTTTTTTTTTTTTTTTGTCAGTAACTTGGATTTTGCATTTATCTGGCACAGGTCAAAGAAATTCTAAAAAATAATGAGTTGACGCAACCTGTTGCAAGTATGGAACTGGCATGGTTTGCGGTATGTGCTTAAGTTGTATTCGGCTATCTGAAATATATCAAATTTCAATATGTAGCTGTCCTAACAGTTTTTCTTCTTCTTGTTCCCCAATTAATGTAGGCCACTGCATTACTTGCCCTGCCTGCAGTATTTCTGTTTAAGTTCTATTCGGCCATTTTCGGGTTAGTTTTATCCAGAGATCATCTTGTTTTAATAATACCAAATATATGGTTTCTTCTTTCCAATTCAACTATGATATCAGGTTTCAATTATGCAGAAAGAAGACAAAAAAGCGTAGTCATAGTTCCTATGTGAACTACACACGGCGTAGGCTGAAGCGTGCCCATCCTGGAAGTACATGAGGTAATTGGATGCTTTGTAAATACTTCATTTTTCTAGGAATACTTATCCACAAGTAGTTCTGAAATATTTGAGAATGGTTTGATGTCATACTTGGTCGCATAGCTATGGTTTTATGGTATAAAGCTTATTTGCGCAAGATATTCCATCAAAGAATATTTCTTTTGTTTACTGGTAAAGCTGTGTATATCATTTTAATGCCTAATTTTTATGTGCACGTGGATCTACTAAAGTTGCAGCTCAATACTTTGGGGTGAAATCAATATTTGAGTTCAGGGGATCTAGCTGTGATAAGATTTCAGTCGACAATACATATGTTTAAAATAACAATAATCATTTCCCTTGATAAAATTCCAAAAGGTCTTGTCGGAATTGTCACTGATACACAGCTCAAGGGAAATTGTATTCTGTTTCTTATAGTTCCTCATAGTCATTGTTTTATTACATTTCCAGTATAGATAGACAGAATGTGCATAATAACTAAGGTCTGCGCAGTTCTTGTGCATCTTCATAAATGTTAACTCAAAATTGTGAGGAGCAAATATTGGGAGATTAACATGATGCTTGTTTTTTTTTCAGATGTTAACATTTCTCATGTTTGCGTCATTATATATTCAAGTTTGGTGTGATTTGGTATCCTTCTTTCTCTCTACTTGTTGAGGGAACCTCACTTGATTTTTGGTTTTCAATTGCAAAATATAGATGAGCATACTTATCCACAAGTAATTCTAAAATCTTTTAGAGAATGGTTTGATGTCATTTTTGGTTACATAGCAATGGTTTTCTGGTCTAAAGCTTATTTGCCCAAGATATTCAACAACAACAACAAAGCCTTATCCCACTAAGTTGAGTCAGCTATATGAATCCTAGAATGTGACTGCGCTTGGTTTTGCGCCGTCTTCCATAAGTTCCAAGTACTTCATGTCTTTTCTTAAAGTCTCTTTCCAAGTCTTCCTAGGTCTCCCTCTACCATTTTGCCAAGAGCTGTCTCATATTTGCATTTTCTAAACGGAGCATTTGTAGGTCTTCTGTTCACATGTCCAAACCACCTTAACCAATTTTCTCTCATCTTATCTTCAATCGTGGCCACTCCTACTTTACCTCGGATATCCTTGTTCTTAATCTGTCCTTTCTCATGTGCCCACACATCCAACGAAGCATTCTCATCTCCGCTACACTCATTTTTTGCAAGTGTTGATGGTTGACCGCTCGACATTCTGTGCCATAAATCATAGCTGGCCTTATCGCCCAAGATATTCAATGAAAGAATATTCTTTTGTTTTCTGTTAAAACCGTGTCTATGTATATCATTTTAACTCCCTACTTTATGTGTTTATGTCTATGGCTAAATGAAATTCCTGAGTATAATCAGCTAGTTTGTGTGAGTACGTGGATGTAAACTTGCAGCTTCGATACTTTGGGGTGAAATCGTTATTTGATTTAAGGGGGCCTAGCTGTGATAAGATTCCATTTGGCAATACATACTTTTAAAATAACAGTAATCATTTCCCTTGCTAAAATTCCAAAAGGTTTCGTCAGAATTGTCACTTGTGTGCCAGCTCTAAGGAAATTATATTCGGTTTCTTATTGTTCCTCAGTCATTGTTTTAGTACATTTTCAATAAAGATAGACGAAATATGCGTAATAGCTAAGGTATGCGCAGTTCTTGTGCATATTCAGTAACTCAAAATTGCGATGCAGCAAGATTGGGAGATTAACATGATGCTTTTTGTTTCGGATGTTAACATTTCTCATGTTTGCCTCATTATATATTCAAGCTTGTTGCGATTTCATCAGTATCCTTCTTTTTATCTACTTGTTGAGGGAGCCTCACTTGATTTTTGGCTTTGAATTACAAAACATAGGTCAGCATAGTTGAAGTTTTGATCCAAAGGGATGCTGATTCTGTTAGTAGCTTATACATTGATCGCGGCTACTTGTGAAATTTGTGATTGTAGTGGCCATTTTGCATGTTTGATGCTTGAGTTTTACTTTTGAGGTACTTGATCATAACCTATTCTTACAGTGGCTTTCACTTACTGCAGATGGTGGAAAGTTTCCCGTTTATCTTAAAATCAAAGTTTCGTTGAAGTCGGGTATCTTTCATCACTAGAATCAGATATGCTACTTTAGAAATTTGAAATCAAAAGCTGTGTTGTGCCGATAGATGAAAAAACCTTGAAATTTCTTACTTAGAAATCATTACAGCAAATGAGGTTTATGGAATATATTGGAGATATTGGAATATACAGTTTTTCTCTTTTCTATGAATACATATTATTTTTTCCATTGCAGATAGGTAATAAACCTTTATTTGAGAGTTTTTGTTGGTTAATTTATTGTGTCATCTATGAGATTTTATGAGAATTTGTTGAGAATGGACAGCAAGTTTAAATCGTCAGAATTGTCATTTACATTCAGTCATTACGGAATTGTTAAAATAATATTTTATGATATCTTAATATTGAACTGTTCACTGGATTTTCACCTCTTATATGTCAAAGGAAAGAATTGAGCGGTTCACTCAATTCCAATATTGCGAGAGTATGTTTACAATGATTATAGGTTGTTGTATCTTTAGAGGGTAAGGCGTCACAACTTGCTTCACCGAGACATTATCTTCGAGGGATGAAATCTACTCTCAAGAACAATGAACTTACACGCCTCAACCTAAAATCTCATTCTAGTCAAGCATGAATGAAGATCGATATATTAAAGATAGGGTAAATTACAAAAAACTACTTCAACTATTGGTCTCACGACACTATCATACCTCATCTTTTAAAATTGACAATGTCATACCGTATCTTTAGAATTTGGTCCAATGTTATATCTTTCCGTTACTTGGCCGTGTATTTTTCAGTTAAATGCTGATGTGGCTTGATTCGGGGGCCCACTTTCTAGTAAAAAAATAATAAATATTATTAAAAACTAAAAGAAATTTTTTATATTTTTTAAATATTAAAATAATAAAAAAAGTAAAAAAAAAAATTCTTTTTCTTTTCTCTCTCTTCTTGTTCTTCTTCTGTAGGTTGGGTTTTCGGAAGGAGGGACGGACAAACTGGGTTTTTTTTTTTTTCTTCTTCTTCTTCTACCTGGGTTGTAGGTTGGCTTTTTCAGGGTGGGGGGAGGGGACAGACGAACTGGGTTTTTTTTCTTTTTTTCTTTTTCTTCTTCTTCTTCTACCTGAGTTGCAGGTTGGCTTTTTTTTGGGGGGGGGGGACGAATTGGGTTTGCTTTTTCTTTTCTTGTTTTTTTTTTTTTCGGTTTCCTTTTTTTTATTCCCTCTCTTTCTCTCTTTTCTTCTGCAGGTTGGGGGGAGGGACGAACTGAGTTTCCTACCTTTTCTCTCTCTCTCTCTCTCTCTCTCTCTCTCTCTTCTTCTTGTTCTTCTTATGCAAGTTGGTTTTTTTTTTTTGGGGGGGGGGGGGGGGGGGGGGAGCGGGCAAACGGAACGAACTGGGTTTCCTTCTTCTTCTTTTTTTTTTTTCCCCTTTCTTCTTCTTTCTGGGTTGCAGGTTGGCTTTTGGGAGGGAGGGAATGGACGAACTGGGTTTCCTTCTTTTTTTTTTCCTTTCTTCTTCTTTCTGGGTTGCAGGTTGGCTTTTGGGAGGGAGGGAAGGGACGAACTGGGTTTCCTTCTTTCTTTCTTCTTCTTCTTCTTTTTTTTTTTTTTTTTTTTTTTTTTTTTTTTTTTTTTTTTGGTTATTCTTCTTCCTTCTCTCTTCTTCTTCTTCTTCTTCTTCTTCTTCTTCTTCTTCTGCAAGTTGGGGGGTGGTGGATTTGGGTTGCAGGTGTGGGAGGGGGTGGGGGGTTGGTGGGGTGATGGGATCTTAGGGGGTTGGTGCGGTGATGATATTTTTGGGGGGTGTAACGGGATCTGGGTTGGGGAGGGGGTTGATGGGTTTTCAATTTTTTTTATTTTTTATTTTTTTGTTGAAGATTAAGCGAAGTAGGGGGAAGAAGATGAAGGGGAGAAGAGAGAGAGGGGGAAGATACAAATTGAGGGGGTTTTTTTTTTTTTTTTTTAATTTTACTTTTCTATATTATTTTAATATTTAAAAAATATTAAATAATTTTTCTTAGTTTTTAATAATATTTTAATAATTTTTTTAATAGAAAGTGGATCCTGAATCAACCCACGTCAACATTTAACTGAAAAATTCATGGCCAAGTAATGGAATGTATAACATTAGATTAAATTGTAAAGATGAGGTATGACATTGTCAATTTTTAAAAATGAGGTACGATAGTGTCATAAGACCAATAGTTGAGGTAGAAGTAACATCAATATATAATTATTATATAGCCAATATTTACTAATCATTATCTTATTTGATTTGTTGTAGAAGTAACATCAATATAACCAATATTTCCAACAGTTGCATTAAATTGATCAATTTGACTGTAGAATGATTATATTGTCACAGGGTGTTACTAATACACCATGTGGTTGTGTTTATGTCATCATTAAAAAGTTCCAATGCTAATCTGTATTAGATATTATTATAAAACTTATATAGTTCAGTCATTCATAATTCATATGCTCAAATTCAATGTGAGATTAAACATTTGAATGTATTAAGTAGCAAATTAACGTTAATGTAATTAATTAAAAGTACTTGTGTGAATTTAAATAACTGATTATCTACAAAAAACAGTAATGCCCTGCTACTAAACATGCTAATGATTATAAGCACTTCCAACAAAAGCACTTTCAAACAAACCCATTCGCAGCTCAAAGAAATGCTAAAAACTGGTGGCATTCCTTACAGATGTAATAAAAAGATCCCCCCACAGAAAGATGCAAATCATATCGAAGAACCAACCAAATGGACAAACGATATAAGCTAAAATACAACCAATCAACCCATTAGATTCAAATGCACAACTGAGATTAAAACGCCTGCATTTCGGATCAAAATTACCAACGTTGTCATAGAACAAAATTGACAAACTAATATAAATCTAGTTACGATTGGCACAATCCGGGAGGGAAAACGCGAGCGTTTTCTCTGTTAATACACCACTTTTCCTCCCACGTCTCATTCTTTGACTCAAGAGAACAAAAGACACAACATAAACACTAACCCAAAACATTCTACGCAAACAAGGCCTTGTAAATTTAACGCAGACGTAAATCACTCGGCTACCGCTAGCCACTTTGCAAAGTTGTCAAACTCGGTGTAGTCACTGTCTGAGATCATAGTTTTGTACCATGCCTTACCAGCGGCCTTAATGGCAGTAGCTTCCTCCTGTATAAAGAGAAATAAACAACACATAAGGAAATTTTCGGATATTCTCAAATCTCATGAGACCACACAAGAATAAGGAAGAAAAAGGCGATCGTAGTATGCATAACTGATCAAAAAGCTTTAACCAGAAATGAAGGAGCAATTCTATTATGAAACAGTAATGACATTATTTCTAGAACAAAGTAGGATTGACAAATGAATATGGAAATCTTGCAAAACAATGCAGCAACAATAAGCATTTGACAACAAACATAATCAAGTTTTGAAGAAAGCAAACACCAATAAAAAATGACCAACCTATTTCCTCATACCAAAAAACAAACTACCAATCCTCACAATCATCAGACATGTAATCAAGATCAATTGAACATAAGAACGCATTTCGTGGACTTGAACTTACTACGATCTATCAATTAATCGAATAATACATGCGCATCACGAATCACAAAAATGGTAGAATCATGGAAACCATAAAATATAAGACTAAGGATACAACTAGGTTTCGATTCACATATATCAAACACGAATTAAAAACGGGCTTCCAAATAACCTTAACAATCATAAAATTTATCTATAGAATCAATCAAACAAAAAGCAAAGCAAAACAGAAGAAATAACAAGTTAGATTTGATTACCTTGGTAATGGGCTTCCTCTTCTTGTCGAGCTTCTCCTTCTTAGCCTTAACCCTCTCAGCCTCAGCCAACAGAGCCATTCGCCTAGCAGTCTTCGCATATGGATTCAACTTCAACAAAGTATTCAGATTCTTTAGTGGGTTCTTCTTCATTGGAGCCCTCTTCGCATCCTTCTTAATCGGCCTCACAACGCTCTGGACCTCGTCCGAGTTAATAATCCTACCCAGATCAGCATTCACCATCTTCGACCTCGGCAACACATACCTCTTCTTCTTCTCAGAAACCTTATCGAAGGATCCATAAATCGAATCCAGCTTTTGGAAAGCCGACTTGGTCCAGACCACAAACCGACCCAAATGCCCACCGGGAGCAAGCTTCAGCAGACTAAGCCTCTCCACATTGATAATATCGACACCAGGAATGTTCCTAAATGCCTTCACAAGCTTCGCCCCCTCACTTCCGTACACAATCAACGGCCCCTTACGGTTGATGTACCTCCGATTCCTCATCTTCCCCTTTCCAGGTCGAATCGAATGGCTGTCCTTTGCCTTCTCGGCATCGGCGTAAGCCCCGATCTCCTTCAACACCTTCAGAGCCGCCGAGGTCTTCTCAACCCCCTCAATGGAGTCGTTAACGACCAGGGGCAATTCTGGAACAGTCTCTATTTTATGCCCGCGAGCCATAACCAGAGACGGGACTGCCGAAGCGGCAATGGCCGAAACGACCGCGTAGCGCTTCTGGTTGACATTGACTCTCCGGTGCCAACGGCGCCAGATCTTGGTAGGAGCGAACATGCGGCCACCACGGCACATGTTTCCGAAGGCTCCTTGGCCAGCGCGGTGAGTCCCACCTCCGGGAACACGTGGGATACGGGAGACGGCTCGCCCAGTTCCCCAGGACTCGGCGGAGGTCTGGTGGCCGGCTTTCCTGGACACGGCGTAGGGCTGGCGGCTGTTCTTGGAGATGTTGGAGTGGACGAAGGTGACGATGTCGGGCCGGATGGAGGCCTTCATGACATCAGGCAAGGAGACGGTTTGGCTCTGGTCGGTGGCCATGTCGCCGTCCAGAGACTGGACGGTGACCAAGGGACGCACAGCGGCGGCGGCGGCCATTTGAAATGGGACTGAGAAAATGGAGAGTGGGGGAGAAGGGATGTACGACTTTAGGGCTGCAAGATAAGCTAGGGTTTTTGTGTTTGGTTTATACGTTTTATAGTGTAAACGTGGAAGTAGGGTTTCAGTTTCTACTTAATTTTTGGCTTAAAAAAGTTAAGTGGGTTGCCATCGTAACTTAACGAGCTATTGAGAGAGTTTAAAAGTCATGAGACATTTATAGCTCGTTTACTAATAATCAGATTAAAGAAAAATGGAGTGAAGAAGAATAGAATTGAGGATGATTTGATTAAGGAAGAAATAAAATTATTTTTCTGTTAAAGTTATTTACTAATTTATTTAGAATCGGGATATGAATGATGTTGGTTTTATATAAGTCATTTACTAATTCATTTGAATCGAAATTAAAACTATCTTGATTACTAAATTGACCTTGTTTAAAATAAATCCCCACTTGTCATTATTTGTTACTCTTGTTAATAGGTTCTACAAGCAACTCGAAATGGGATTAGGTGGTTGGAGATGAAGCTGGCTCTAAAGGAAATTGGTGGATTTGGAGAAGACGAATATGGTTGTGTCTATCAACTAAGTGGTGAAGTTGTAAGGTCATTTTATTTAAGTGAACTATAGGAGGTCATCTTGGAACATAAGTTGGATTCCATATGGCCACAAATACCCGGATTTCAGGTACCACCATAATGTAGAGAATTACCTCCGCCAATTTTATGGGTTTGATTCCCGAAATGAGGTGGATCCCACTCTTGTATTGATTCATTAAACAGTGTGCAATTCTATTTTGACCCATTCCATTCATCCTTAGTAAACATATCATTAAAGGATTGAAAGTGCTTTTAACCTTGGTAATGAATTTCCAGTGTTCTAAAACGCAGTCTAGGCATGTAACAACCCGTCTTGATTTTTATTTACGGATTTTGGAACGAAGGGGTAGTTTGGTAATTTCAAAGGGGTTGATAGATATTTTAAATTGTTGCTTTTGGGTCTTGTTTGGTGTGCCCAAGTGGGGCCCACCCTTGGTTTTGTTCCCCCGGCCCAAACATTTCATCTCTTTCTCTCTCTCTCTCTCTCTCTCTCTCTCTCTCTCTCTCTCTCTCTCTCCCCTTCTCTCCCCACTTTTTCTCTCAATTCCCCCAAGCTCTCTCTCTCTTAGCTCTCATCCCTCTTGATGCACCATTGCACCACCACCACTGCCCTCCTCACCAACGAGCCACACCTCCATCACACCAATTCGTCCTGCCTCTCTCCTTGAGACCTAAAATAGAACTCTCGCATGCTCTCTTTGCTCACGGCAAGGTCCGACGGTCTTCGAGCTGATTTCCAGCCAACTCTAGCAACTACTGGGGAAACTAAATTATAATCCTAATCTACACTTGGTTGTCATCAATTTGGTGGGTACATCGTATGTTAAGGTTGAGAATCGAGGTCGACTGGTGCTTGGGAAGCTCTGGCTTTCGTCTCCATGAGAATCGGTCTGAAAACGGGTCAGACCTGATCCATAAAACCTGAGCCGGCCCAATTCGTTAGGCCATGGAACCCGGCCTAATTGGCCAACCCAACCCAATAAACCTGGAACCCAAAACCAGGCCCTTAGGCTACGCAACCCAGGCCCATCTTTATAACCCGACCCAGGACCCTAAGCCCAATCTTGTAGCCCAAAACCCTCGGCCCAAATCCAAGTGGGAACTGGCCCAACCCAAAACCAGATTTGACCCGGATCTAGCCCAAACCCAGTCGGATCCCAGAACTCTGGCCAGCGCACGAGCGCATGTCTTAGCTGGCGCGTGGAGCACACATGCCTCCACCGGAGGTACTGTGACGGCGGTGCATAACCGTCTTGGCGTGTGGGGGTACTTGAGGTCCTGAATCCGTTTATGACATTCATTTCCTGAAATTCAATTGTTATGGTAGAGTTTTATTAAGTGGACCCTTTATATGCTTAGGTGCATTTATTATGGCGTTTCTGTCTTCGTTAGTTTGCACGACTCTTTGACGGCGAAGTATATATGAGTGGACCCCTTCTAAAAATGCATATTTTACTATTAGAAATGCATACATGAAAAGTATGATTTAATGGTTACGTTTTATGAAATGTTTATGAGTAAATTAGATTTACGCTTTATGATATTCATGCTTTATCGATTTTACGTTCTTCGTAGTATATATGATTAATGACTATATATTACAAATATATTTTATGATATGATGTTTGAGTTGTTGAGCTCCAATGGATATATATGCATATGTATTTTGGAAAGATTATATTCACTAATTTTTGTACTTATCTAGTGGTCACTATATGCCTATAGGCGATTGATATTTATACATGGCTTCGGTCGGGTGTTGTAGGAGCCTACGGGCGATTGATATTTATACATGGCTTCGGTCGGGTGCTGTAGGGGCCTACGGGCGAATGAAGTGTTCTATATGCCTTCGGGCGATACTGATACCACTATTTAGTACACTATATATGATATATATTTTATTGAAGGTTTTATGGCATGCTAGGGTTTTTAGAAAACCTATTACATATTATGCTATTGAGTTTTCATAAACGTTGCAGGTTAGTACGTTGTTGAATAATTGTTTTAGTACTACTTATATATCAACTTGGTCCACTCGTGTTTTGTTTTGCACCCCCTAAGGACTTAGAATCGAGGCGTACAATCTCAGCATCAAGGCACTCCCGCATCGGCATCTTCGAGTCCTGTCGGTGCAGCACCCATCCCGTTCATTCAATTTTATATTATTCCTTTTTAGTGTCTCGGATTAGTTGTATGCTCTAAACACGATCCACAATTGCATATTCATTATAATTAAATTTACAAGTTTTGTTTATGTTGGTTAATTGTTTTTAGTTCTCATGCATCCTAATATGGCTTTGTCACCTTCGAGTGTCGGCTAGCATGTGTCTACCCTGGTGTTTGGAGAACATTAGGGTCAGGCATGTCAGGGTAACTGCCTGGGCGTCGGGCTGCCGATGTGATTATTTAAAAAATGTTCAGTAAATCAACAAGGGTATTAGGCGGTGCCTAGGCGGCCAACTAGGCGAGCCAAGCAGCCCAAGCACCAAGCTAAGCGGCCTCCGCGGTGGTTTTGTTAAAATATTATACGTTTCGCCGTTTCAGTACATCGCGAGGGTGACGACATAAAATTTGAAAAGAGAATCCGAAAAAGTGTGAGTGAAGAGTGAGCGTGAGAGAGATTTGTAGAAGGAATCAGAATAACAGTGCAATTGCAGAAGGAAAAAAAAATGAGAACTTTGACTTGGAAGCTTCAAATTTCTTCGATGTGCTTGACGAATTTGACTGGACTCATGATTAGGTTTTGGAAAATTATAAAGAGCAAGAAGATGAAAATTAGGCCAAGAAGATGGGGAATTAGGCAGAGCAATCAAAGAAGAATGGACAAGAGAGGAAACGAGAAACCCCAAAATAAAGGCCTTGCCAATTTCCAAGGCAACAAAAGCCACTCCCTCTATTAGATGGATTTCCACCATTAGCACTAGGCTTATTAATTATATTAAAAAAAGTTACCTACTCCATTATTAAACAAATATATTATATATTATTATCTTTTTTTTCTTTTCAAATTATGTACTTAAAATTCTTACATTACCTATATATAGATCTTCCATTTTATAGTTTATGATGAAATCAATATATTTTAAGTATAAATAGACACGTATTTACACGAAATATAATAAATTTAATTAAAGCCGCTTAGTCCGCCTAGGCGACCGCCTAGACCTCGCCTAGACCTCGCCTAGCCGCGCTAGGCCCCAGCCCGCCACCCGACTAGCGCCTAGTATCTTTTAGACCTTGTGAATTTCTTTTGAAATTTGGATGTAGTTATGATTTGTTAATGCAAGCGCTATTTGTCACACCCCCAACTCAAGGATTAACGTAAACCTTGATTTAGAACGTGATTCACAAGCTTAACTGTAAGGCTTAGCTAATATAACTAAAATGTGAAATGAAATATAAAAAAAGAGCACGTATATTAATTCACTTGGAATAAATTCAGCAGAACAATAGTATCTTTTTTGAAATTATAATTAAAATTACAACTTAGAAACTACTCAAAGTTCACACGAGTAGTTCTTTATTTAAATAAGAGAGCAAAAACCATCAAGTTCATCTTTTTATTTCTTTATACACAGTTACATAACAGACAACAAGTCAAGTAGACTTCTAGATTCTGGTTCCATACTTGCAAAATTTAGTTCGGATGAGCTTAAAATGCTTAGTATGGACTAAACCTTCATCAATAAAATATTAGAGCTTTAATTAACAAGGCAAACATAAAACCATAATTAGAATGACATGTAAGGATGCAATGCAAATGCCTTGGCTATACTTGTTAATCCATATAACTAAACACTTAGACCTCGTACGTCTCAGTCCGTGCTTATACGACTTGATCCTGAGCACTTAATTATATGAACTAACCTCATCCCAAAATATCTCAGAACTCCCCTTCTTCAGTCTTGTTGCCTGAACTCTTTGTCCCTAGTCCTGAATTACCATAATTAAACTGTGCATTGTGGGCTTGGCTAAGACCTGGTACTGACTAAGAGTTTGACTCAACTACCTAAAAGCTAATAGCCACTACCTTAGATTCCTGAATTTCTTTCCAAGAACCCCAATTCACTCTCACATCATGAATGATTATCAAGTTTCATTTCTTTTTCCAGATAACAAAGATAATCAGAAATTAACCCTTACACTAAATTAAAGTTTAAACATCATACTCAAGTAACATTCAAATTCAATATTTATACTCAATTCGTATTCAATACAGTATCAAACTTGCATGTGTACTTATATAAGTAAGCATTAATCAGATTAATTTATATAAGGTTTCGGAGAACCCTTACCTTAAATTCAATTAATTTTGTTCCTCCAAAAAGTGTGTGTTTACTAATCCGTAATCAGATTGAAAGTAATTGAATTGAAAAGAAATTGGATTGAGGAGGAATTGAAATGAGGTGGAATCAGAATCAAATTATTGTTTAAGTAGTTTACTAAAACTTTCTGAAATCAGAGTAGGAATGATGTTGAGTCCATATAAGTTGTTT